AACACGTGCTGCTCGGTGCCGCCGAGGGGAGGAGGTGCAGCGGGGTGGGCCACGGAGCGGGGTGGGGGAGGCTTTACTGGGAGCGTGTGTGCGGGGAGGACGCATTCCCGTTTTCCTGAGGTTTCCCGGGGGAGTTTCTGTGGTCTCCAGTTCTCCTGTCTGGTGGTCGCATCCTGAAGTGGGGCCGATGCCTGACGCGTGTTCTCTCTGCTTTCGCAGAAGTTACTCCCTTCCCTCTCGACCTCTCTCGAGGACATCTTTACCCACTGGGAAAAGTAAGTCGAAGGGGATAATGACTATCAAATAGATTCCAGACTGCGTTAACAACCAGGCTGCATGGCACGTGTGATCTTTATTTGCTGGAATTTCCCGTTGTCAGAGTATTTCCGATGATAACTGTGCTCAGCAGACTTTCCTCCTAGCCTCTGGTTTTGGGCCGATTCGTTTCAGATGTTAAAAATGTTTCAGATATTACTTTGGCTTAAAATTTCCTGAGTTTTCAGCAGCTGATGTTGTTCTTGCTGGTTGGAGTTAATACTGGAGTATTGTGGGGCTCAGGGTCATGCTTTACTGGCAAAAATCTTTTCCCCAGTTCTGTTTCACTTTCTTTTTAAAGCCACATGCTTTGCAGGCATGTTGACCCAAGAACAGAGATTTTGAGCAGATGCTGAAAAGCAAAGGCTGTTGCAGAGACTTAACGTTGGCACAAGTCACGTATCTTCTGACTTGGAGGAAGTGTCTTGGTTTCAGCGTGTCCTTTCAAGCTCTTACATGTTCAGCCCAATGCCTTCCCGCATAGTTATGCCACTGAGTGCTGCATGTCAAGATCTGCAGCGTGGAGCCTTCCCGTCTCTGGGGTGCAACGATGTTTGTACCCCACCCTGTGCACCACTCGCTTTGTTTTGATGCAGAGGGGGCTTGCTGGCAGCCACAGAGCCGGGTTATTGGGGAATCAGTGGAGCTGGGCATCTGTGCCGATGGTGAGGAGTGCTGGAGTGAAGACACCTCTCAGTGTAGCTTAGCCAGCAGCCTTTCGAAGCAGATGTTTGCTTCAAAGGTGTCTTCTGCTAGAACGCCTTGTGCCTGTGTGCTACTCTGCTTCTTGCTCATGTGTCACCACGATTTTCTTACTTGAGCAGGAGAAAAACTGGGTCTAGATGAGGATGAGCAGTGTAGAAGCACGTTTACGGTTCCTCTCTCCAACAATTTATTGCCCTCTTGGGTGTTGATAGTGACCTTTCTCTGTGCTAGTTATCCTGGGTGCTCAGCAAGCCCTTCCAGACACTGTTACTTTCAAAGCTTGAGATGCAACAGGGCACTCGCATCATGTTTAATTCCTTTTTCTCTAGTGTCACCCTTGTGTTCTGGTCCTACCCCACAAATAAACCTTTTATTCCTGGTCCCCTGAGTTACGCCTGGTTTGGGGTCAAAATGAGGGATGTATTGACCAGTAGTTTTGTTTATCCAGAAGGTGCCCTGCCTAGCTGGAATGCTTTCATGTGGATGAGCTTGGATTCTTGCATCTTGTTGCTTCATAGGCTTTTGGCCTGAAAATGCCTTTCCTCCAGCTGTGCTGCAGCTCTTGCCCATCCAACTGAGGTCATCCTTGGTGCTCTCCTTCAGAAACTCTTTCAAAGTGAACTTAACAGTTGAGATTTCCAGGTACTTAAGAGTGACCTCCCTCCAGGGCTAAGTTTAGCCTGAGGAGGCGGAAAGGTGCCTGAGTGCAGGGGGAAGCTGAACCAGCTCAGCCCCAGAAGCAGCTGGAGCCCTGCAGCCCAGCTGCTGTTGGACCAGCGCCTGGGGGCACTGCCGTTTTCCCCTACGAAATATCCCTGAGCCCCTGGCTGCTCTCAGCAAATTCTCACAGTAGTCTCTGTTGTGCTGTCAGCTGCCACTGAATCAGGAAGGCATTGGAGTATTATAACTGCCCATATGCCTTGCCCTATTGTTTATTAAAGGCATTACCGGAGTAGTGTCCTGGTTTCAGCTGGGACAGAGTTAGCTCTTCTTTTTAGCAGCCAGAAGAGCTCGGTGTTTTGGTTTCAGTCTGAGACTTGCTCTGAGGAGAACGCTGACAGTGCACTGATGTTTGTAGTTGGCACTGAGGCCTCAAGGACTTTTCAGCTGCGGTGTTCTTTCCAGTGTGCAGGAGCACAACAGGATAGGGGGGAGCATGGCCGGGACAAAGGGCCCACAACTCCCCTTACAATTTGAACTTAGACTTAGGATTGAGGGCTGAATTGGCCAATGAAGTATCCCATATCATACAGCGTCATGGCCAGTATATAGATGAGGGTTGACTGGAAAGAAGGGCCTTTGCTCTTCCGGAGGCTTGCACTCTCGGAGTGCTCTCTCTCTCGCTCTCTTCTCAGGCCTCTCGCTTGTCAGGGATTGCAGTGTTGGGACTTAGCTGTTTCGGGATCGTTAGCCAGAATGGGACGGGTCTTAGTCACCGAGTGGTGAGCAATTATACTGTGCATCACTTGCTTGTATATATTATTATATTATACTTGTTATTATATTATATTATTTT